CTGCCGCTGCCACCGGCACCACGTGACCCGCGCGCTCGCCGGCCCCGCCGAGGGCCCCTCCCCTTCCCGCGGCTCCCGCGCCAGCACGCAGGAGCAGGTACGGGAGCTCGCGTTGCCCCGCCGGGGAAGGTGCCTGCATCGCAATACCTGTCTCTCTCCCTAGAATCTGTCCCCAGCTCCCTACCAGGTCTGGGGCGCAGGAGATCGGTGGCAGCTGCCGGTGACCGTGCGCGTGCGTGAGTCACGCGGTGATTGGAATATTGCGCTGGCTCACCGCGGTTCTGCCCAGGCGCGGTTGCTGACAGATAGAGCTCCGAATCAGAGAACCGGGTTCCAGGCCCAGCTCCCAGCCTGGATCCTGAACCCCTATAACCTTGAACTACTCGGGAACTTCCCTAAGCCTCCTTTACCCACCCGAAAAGTCTTGGATGCGTTGACGATGGCTTTTGGTCGACCCTGGGAGCACAGGGCTGAGGATGACCAAACCTTGACCTTAAAGGTTTGGGGTCTAGCAGAAATCCGAAAGCTGGTTCACTCAGGTGCTATGGAGTGCAAGCAAACAGGCACCCACGGAGATAATGGAAGATTTGGAGCAGGTGAGGGCCAACGTGAAAAAGCAAATGGTGATGAGAAAAGGGAATAAAAGGGCATTCTCCGGGGAAAGGCAACGGGGCCTGCGAAGCCCAGAGGAGACAGAGCAGTGCAGTGGATAACTCCGAACGCTGACCTGGGCTGAGGCAGGAAAGATAACGGACAAAGATTGCCCCCAGCTAAGAGAGTGGAGAGGCAGGCTGAGCAGCGAGCTTTAGAGGTGGTAACAGTGAGACTTTAAAACTCTGCCACCAAATGGCTGAGTCTCTGTGGCAGCTTTGTGAGGACGGGAGAAGCAGGAGGGTACAAAGCTGTGACAGCTGCGGGGTGTGGTGGCACACGTCTTTAATCCCCGCACTCAGGAGGCAGGGGCAGAGCCAGCTGGATCACTGTAGGCTTGAGGTCAGCCTGGTCTACGTAGTTAGTTCCAGGACAGCCAGGGCTACATAGATACATTGTCTCAAAAGAAAAAAAAAAGTGTTGACAGCCACATGGTCAAGTACAGAGGAGGCACATAAATCAGATTGAGAAAAGACAGAATAGGATGGAGACAGAAATTGAGGAAGGCAGGTTACCTGGGGATCTAATCACTGGATCAAAGGTGGGTGGTGCCTGCAGCTGAGAGAGGGAGATGGGGGAGGGCAGCAGCTGTTTCTAGAACAGTGGTTCTCAACCTTCCTAATGCTGCAACCCTTTAATACAATCCCTCATGTCATGATGACCCTCAACCATAAAATTATTTCGTTGCTACTTCATAACTGTAATTTTACTACTGTTATGAATCGTAAAGTAAATATCTGATATGCAGGATATCTGATATGCAACCCCTATGGGGGTTGAGAACCACTGTTCTAGAAGAAAGGGTCTCCCTGCCTCTAGACATGTCCCGGAGATACCCAGACGGAGGAGTCCAGCGGATGTAGCTGTCTGTATTTCAGAAGAGAGCTGAGCTGAAGATGGAGAGCCAGGGTCAGACGGCAAAGTCTAAGGACTCGGCTGTGTGCCTAGTGGGACCAGAAAGGCTTTGTCAAGCCCAGGACCCAGTTCAAGCGCTGGACTGGGTACTTTCCAAGCCTTCTTCCTGACCCAGACCCTGAGCTTTGGGAATGTTGAGAAGGAGATTGCTCCAAGTTGGCCAGGTCTGGTTTCCAATCGATGTTCTGCCACCACTTAACTCTGGTGTGACTTCGGTATGCCACAAACCTCTCCGAGACATTCATGGTATTTCTAGCCCTTGTGCTGACCTGTTTATAGATCTGTGTGTAGGATGCGCGCACACACACACACACACACACACACACACACACACACACCTTCAACTTTAAAGAACTGTAACCAAGAAAGACTTCCAGGTAAGACTGGCCTTGAACTACTTATCCCCTGCCTTTATCTCCCAATCAACGATGGACCTTTTAAATCGCAGATCTCCTACAAAGCTATTTGTGAATTGATTGAGGGCTCCCTGAGGTCATTATCTCCCACCCACAGAAGCTCTGGGATGTCAGACTGCTGACAGAGAAGTTACAGCAGACTGAAGAGCTTGTCTGTGTTTGGCGAGGTTAGACTTGGTGTTCGTTTGGTTTTGTCTTTGGTTTTTTGAGACAGGGTTTCTCTGTGTAGCCCTGGCTGTCCTGGAGCTGGCTCTGTAGCCCAGGCTGGCCTCGAACTCAGACTTCCCTTAAGGCTGGGCTCACCCAATTATGCTGCCTTTTCAGAGAACTAAGAAACAAGCATAGGTCATGGTCAAGAGAGGGCTCAATGTAACTGCTTCTCCACAGCTTACGCTGTAAACCTTCCTTCTGGTATCTTCCCTCAGCCTGACCTCCGGGAGCTTAGCTCAGGGGACACAATCCTCTTCAGACCCTCAACCCTTGTCTCCTTTTCGGCCACCCATTCGATTCTGACCCTAGAGTCTCTGCTCTCTTTCTCAACCTGTCGAGACTGTTGGATCCCTGCTCCCCCAGCCATGGTACTTCACCAAGTTCTTACCTTTGGGTTCTCTGGCCAGCTTCAGCGAGGTAGGTTTGGTGGCACTGTCTGTGGCAGCATCCACAGTGGCATGGTCCTGGCCTGGGTCTGTGCTTCTGCTTGGCATTAGAAAACAGCTTGCCGCGTCTGAGATGGTCAGGTGATTGGTCTCACCAGCGGCTGGCAGTGGATAGACCAGCACAACTGAATTCATGGCTATACCCAGTCCGCTTGTGTCCAGCACAGAAGAATCTGTAGTTGTATCCAGCTCGGCTAGATCGGCTCCAGCCAAAGCCGTGGCTGTGTCCATCCTGGTCATGCTCAAATCAACCTGATCTGGTATTTCCAAAGCCATGGTCTTGCCCGCCGCCGCCGCCGTCCCAACCATGACATTTTCCAGCTTGTCGGAGTCTGCAGTCACCAGCTTCAGAACTTGGCTTGGCTTGGTTGTCTCTGCTCCAGCTAAATTCATGGCTGTGCCTAGTTTGGCTGGGCCTGTTATCACCGAATCTGTGGCTTTTCCTGCCTTGGATGCTATAGGTAAGTCAATGGTCATGCCCATCTTGGCACCCAGAATAGGAAGCTCAGTGTCTCTGACCATTCTAGGCGGGTTTGGTGTGGACATATTCATAGCCAGCTCAGGTCTGTTGATGGCCATGGTGCCTAAATTTCTGGCTATATCTAGTTTTGTGCCCACAGCAGACAAATTTGTAGGAGTAGCAACCCTTTGGAGGTACGCTCGGGATCTGGGAATACTCCTGGGCTTGGATTTGCCTCTTCCTGGAGAGGTTCTGGTTTGGACTTGACCCACAGGGCCTGAACTCTGAGTAAACTGAGATTGGAAAGGTAAAGCCAGACATGAAGACACCAGTGGCTTATCCCCTGAGGGTGTCCTGTTGGATTTGGTAAGATCTGGGTTCCCATGGCCTTCAGAGGAGGTCCTGACCTCTGACATTTGAGCCATGGGTGGTGATCTTGAAGTGAACAGCCTCCCTTCTCCTTGGGTGACAGCCTCCTTGCCCAAATTGGGCAACTCTTCCCAATGAGAAAGTGGGGCATCCAGGGGCCGTGTGGGGACGTTCTGGCGAATCGTTAAAGAAATAGAGCTGAGTTTCCTGGGCATAAAACTATTGGGAGGCAGGGAGTTTAGGGGCCCTAGGGTGCCCCGTTGGGACATACTCCAGGCCCTGGATCTAAAGCTTGGCTGGCTGGCAGTCTGTAGGACACCGCTTTGGGGGAAGGCATCCAAATGGACAGTCTTCTTGATGGCAGGGATGAGAGGGGACACGTCTCCAGTGAGCTTTTGGTGGGTATGGCGCCCCAGCATGTGGCTTCGAGAGAAAGAAGTTCTGGAGCCTGAAGCTCTGCGCGGCTGCATCTCTGGAGGAGGTGGCGCAAAATCGTGGTCCATCCAGGCTGTTCGGCTTTCCCTGAGGCCATCACAAGAAAGGAGAGCAAACAAGGATGAGGTCTCAACTCTTCCCCCTCCCAACCAGCAGATGGCACTGCCAGCCCGAAGGGACCTCATTTGGAGACTTGTTGAGTCCTTAGTAGAGTGTGTGTTTCCTACAGCCCGACGGCTTCCAGCTGCTAGAGACTGACACACGCCTCATACACCTGCCCCTGCAGCAGCCCAATATAGGCCCTGCTGATGAGCAACTTGCCCCTGACGTGAAAGAACCCAGGGTGGGGTTCAGCTCTTTCTTTTCTTGGGTCTGAGTGTGGCTGCTCTCCCCGGACAGCTCTGTGGAGGTTGCATACCTATGCAGGGACTCTGGAGGAGGACAGTCGGTCTCTCTTCCAGAAGCCACCCACAGCGGCCAAAACAAGGATCCAGGTGTCTGGGTCAGAGGCCTTGGAATGGCCAAATGGCCTCAGAGCAGAGTCTGAATCAGGGGATTCTGCTCCAACCAGGAAAGAACCTCTGAGCTGGGCTCATGGTGGGGAGATATCTGGGGGAAGCCTGGGTCAGCTTGGGTGCATTGGGCAACTCCTAAGTATAGCCCAAAAGTGAGAAAATAAAGCCTCCTTTTGAAAATCCAACACAGGGCTCCCAGGCTGTGCCTGACGCGGTGGAGATAAGGCTGAAAGTTAGCAGGGGCCAGACCAGGCTGCAAAGTTGTTCAGGTCCTGCAAGTTAACCTGGGCCCATCTGTTGTTAGGAACAGCCATTCGAAGGCAGGCTGAAAGAGGCATTGTTGGAAATGGGATTGAGAGTAGGCGGTCTGTGGGGTGGGACTAAAGGGCTCTGTGGCTGTGAGATGGGCCAGGGATGGGATTGGAGAAGGCTGCTGGGGGCAAGGAGATGAGAGAGAAGAGGGTACCCAGGGGGATGCTCCAGTGCTGCCAGGTAGTCTGGATAGATGAACCACATTCCCCAAGGAGGTCTCCAGGGTTCCCCAGGGGCTGGCTGGTGGCCTCTCTGAGCGGCACATAACTCAGCCTCTGGGGCAAAGTTATTTCCGTTACTATTAACACCACAGGCTAGACAGGCTGCACCTTAAGGGACAACCTCAGCCCTCATCTCTAGCCATGCATTTGTATCCAGACGGTCCAGCCTTTGCTCCTTCTCCATCTGGCACATCCTCGCAGCTCCTGACCTCTTCTTGCCCACTGTTCACACCACACGCACTTGGGTGCACCATGTTCACACTGCACTTAGCCACAAGCCCAAGGACAGGAACTTCTGAGGTCGCCTTGTTCTTATGCCACCAGATCCCTACCTCCTCACTGAGCCCCATGTGCCATGAACACCTTGGTCCTGTCCTTGCCAATGGGCAGGTGCACACATGCCCTCCCTCCCTCTCTCCTCTCTCCTCTCTCCTCTCTCCTCTCTCCTCTCTCTCTCTCTCTCTCTCTCTCTCTCTCTCTCTCTCTCTCTCTTACACACACACTACACCTACCTTGATCGGAAGACAGAAAGGGGGCAGGAAAGTGGCCGGTAGTTTTTCAGTCAGAGAAGCTGGACCAGTTGCAGACCCCGCCCCCTCCTCTGCACCCAGAGGCCAGCCATGTGGCCTGGCTCAGAGACCTCTTTTCCCTGGGTCCTCTGGGGAGGGAGGGAGGGCTTTCGTTCAACCTCCCAGTCACAGTCCACAAGCTGAGGGGCCTGTCACCTCTCTCCTGACTTGTCCCCTCTAGCGACATCCCCAGCGGCTGGGCTGGGCTCTGGGCAGGGAAGATCTGGCTGGAGAGTGGGTGGCAGTGAATGGCTGCTCTGAGTCTCTGGAATCCTACAGAGTTATGGGAGTCAGCCAGCTGAGCTGCCCTGAACACAGGGCCACGCAGGGAGGGGGATGCCCTGGTGTTCCACCTAACCCTTGACTGGCCCCTTGAGAGGTATCGCCAGTGAGAGAGAACAGGGTTACTCCAACGATGATGCCATTGTTTGCCCCATGCAACTTCCCTCTGCCCTCCCTCTTCACCCCCCCCAGAAGTCTGGTGACCCTGGAGCTACCTGTGCCCATGCCCCTGAGTTCTTGCCTCAAGTTGCAGTTTTTGAGTATGCATCTATACCCTTCAAAACCATTCTCTGAGATCCCATTTGCTCCAGACAGATCCTAGACGAAGACTCAGGGTATGAAGGTAGCTGGCCCTGGCCCAGACCTCAAAGAAATCCACAAATCCATCCAAGCTGGCCCTGGCGAGGCAGATTCTCAGCAGCCCCTGGCCACTGGACTGGAATAGGTACCCTTTCCTGTGTGCCCCCAGCACCAGGCTGGCTTTGTCACACAATGGTGTAATAAGGACCGTGGTGGGAAGAGCCACCACTGGCTGGTTACTTACTTTGTGTCAGGCACTGAGCCAGGCTCAGGGAACTCAGAGTCTGCTCGGGAAGACAGATATGTAAGCAGATTCCTCACAGTATTAGCCACAGAGTACGTGACAGGGACATCCCCCAGACACTCACTCTGACCCAGGAGCTAAGCTAAACATTCTCCGGGCATGTCTCCTAATCATCACCTCGTCGCTTGCTTTTTGCCAATGAGGACACTGTACCCCACAACACTGTGGGGCCCTATGTACTACGCTCCTTGGCGAATGACCTTCTGGCTTGGCCAATAGAACTTTCTGTGATAATGGAAATGTTCTATATCGCCACTGCCCAATAAAATGGCCACTAGCCACAGGTGGCTCCTGAGTACTCGTCATGATTCTCTGATGACCAAGGACCTGACGAATTCATCTGATTCCGTTTGAACGTGTGTCTACTGTACCGGACAGCACCGTTCTGAAGGACCTGCCTCTTACTATTCTCCGGGCCCCAGGACCTGGCAAGAACCACGGAGTATGTTTCTGTAGAGTGACTAAATGGTGACTATGTGGGCCTGGGATCCTCCCCTCTCATCCCTTCTCTCCCCTTCAAGCTTTAGGTTTCCAAAGCTGGCTATGCTCTGGTTACCAGGGCAACCTGCAAGAAATCACAGTGGAAGGGGGGAGGGGCACTGTCTGAGTTCTCCCCCCCCTCCCTACATGTTTTGAGGCCCCCGAGGAAAGAAAGAAGTGGCTGGGGGAAGACACAAAATCTGCCTGGACAGCCTGGGGAGCAAGCTCTGTAGAGCCCACCTCTGCTCCATTACGTTACTTCCTGGGGGTCCAGCAGCCTGAGCTGGAGTCAGGGGCCCTGTGGTCTCCTTGCCCGACCACTCTCACTATAAGACCCCTGTCTGCTAGGCTGGGCGGTGGTGGCACACGTCTTTAATCCCAGCACTCGGGAGGCAGAGGCAGGTGGATCTCTGTGAGTTCGAGGCCAGCCTGGTCTGCAGAGTGAGTTCCAAGAGAGCCAGGGCAACACAAACCCTGTCTTGAGGAGGAAGAGGAGGAGGAGGAGGAGGAGGAGGAGGAGGAGGAGGAGGAGGACTCCTAGGTCTCAGCTGTCTTTTCAGTTAGAGATTAGATGCCCTCATGCGATTTCTTCCAGCCTAAAGATCTAGAATCCTCCCTCCTCCCTCCTTTCAGAGCAGGACCTGAGTCTCGTCCATCTCTGCTTTCCACATGCCGGGCTGCCTCTCTCCTTCCCCTCCAGCGTTGGCTGGCTCCAAGCAAGCTGTTTAGGATTTTGTCATCTGCAGCCCCTGTAGGCAGGAAACGTGTATTCAACCTCATGTGTACAGGTATATAATGTAAGTATATAAACCCAGTACTTACTGATAAATAATTCAGGGAGATTCATTTTACCTGGGGGTTTAGTGCAGTGGCAGAGCACTCAACAAGTATGTATTAAGGCCACCAGTTCAATCCCCAGAACCACAAAAAATAAATAACATTAAATTGAAAAAAAAAAAATTTAGGGTTGGGGATTTAGCTCAGTGGTAGAGTGCTTGCCTAGCAAGCACAAGGCCCTGGGTTAGGTCCTCAGCTCCGGGGAAAAAAAGAAAAGAAAAAGAAATTTTAAAGCAACTCTTTGGGTCGGGGGGAGCTGATGAGATGGCTCAGTGGTTAAGGGCACTGGCTGCTCTTCCAGAAGTCCTGAGTTCAATTCCCAGCAACCACATGGTGGCTCACAACTATCTGTAATGGGATCTGATGCCCTCTTCTGGTATGCACATGTCTTTCCAGACAGAGCACTCATACATAGAAAATAAATTAAAAAAAAAACAAAAAAACAATTCTTTGGTACACATAAAATTTTACCATTTGTTAAAGACAACAAATTTGCATACTAATGAGATGGATATGACTTTATTTTATTTTACTAAATCTTAGCTGTTTACTCAATGCTGTAGAATGTAAAGCATCTTCAGTATTTTTTAGACTTGATGGATATTTTGATTTTTTTTTCAAGATGGGGTTTCTCTGTATAACAGCCCTGGCTGTCCTGGAACTCTCTTTGTAGACCAAGTTGGTCTCAAACTCACAGAGATCTGCCTGCCTCTGCCTCCCGAGTCCTGGGATTAAAGGTGTTCACCACCATGCCTGTCCTATATTTTGATTTTTATAATTCACAATGCTGAGAATGCCGCTTTGCATAAATCAAAAGTATAATAATGGCAGGAATGTGTTCAGAAATTGTTAGAAATTCTTCCCTACTCCCAAGTCAAATTCTCCTTAATGACTCTTTGGAACTCCAGACAGCAACAGAAACAGCAGTGTTTTGTTTTAGACAGGTTCTCACGCATGCCAAGTTGGCCTTAAACTTCCAAGAATGACCTTGAGCTTCTGCTCCTCGGGCCTCCACTGCTGAAGGATGCGATTGTGGATGAGCACTCCAGCACCTGGTTTACGCACTGCTATGGATGGGGCGAACTTTATCCTTAGGTGATGAGAAACGACAGCAGGAAGACACTGACGTCGCTTCCCATCTATGATGGCACTAAAAGCACTGCAATGTATAATATACCATCGTCTCTGCCAGGCCTTAGGTGGCATATGGAGTGGTGGTCAAAGTGTGCACGCTGAATGTTCAATACCAAGGGTGGACAGTGAGAGTATGCCCAGCCAACACACAGGAATTGGCCAGAAACCTACAGATTTGTTTCGAGTTTGATTTTGAATTAATTTGTGGTTGTTGTGCATTCGGAAACCTTTTACTGTTGCCCAGTTTTTACCACCTCCACATTCAGTTACTGGTGGCCACCCACAGTTTTTACAGTCTGGGGTTAGTAGAGTTCACTGCCTGTCCAGCCATTGCAAAGTTGGGTCTAGCTGCCCTCTAGTGGCCGAAGGTGGCAATGCCCTCCTTTACATCCACACTTTCCCATCAAAGACAGAGAAATTGACAAGTGTCCTCCACTCCCTGACAAGAGGCCCGGGCTATGAGATTTCTCAAACATGTGATTCTGCAGCCATGTGGTTTTGAACATCCCTTCGTCTCTCTTAGCTCCACTTTGTCCTGTAATAGGGGTTGGATTAGACAGCCTGGGTAACAAACCATTCCAAAACCCTCGGGGCTTATCACACTGAAAGCTGGTTTCTCATGGACCGACTAAATTCGGTGCCATCTCCACTCCAGGACCTGACAGAGCCTTCCAGAGCATTGCCAGTGATTGTGACAAACTGAAGGTTAGTGAACTCCTTGCCAGCTACTAAAGGCTTTGGCCTAATATCAACTCATTGCCCAGAACTAGCAGGATGACCCACCTATCACACGAAGGTAGGAAAGTAAAATCCTACTGCCTACTGAGAGATGGGGAGCCAGGGATATTTGGTAAGCAGTGATGTAGACTCACAGGTTGCTGTAAGAATGACCTCAGGGAGCTTCGAAGACGCTCATGGCCCTGTTAGGATATGTTACACTCACTCCATGTAAGCCATGAAAATTGGGATCTCTGGGGCTAGGGATAGCTTGGTAGTAGATTGTATACACAGTGTGTATAAAACCGTGAATTCAGCCGTACATACACACGCACAGTTGTGGCCTTGGAATTCCTATTTTCTTGTCTATTCACCCCTATAATTTCTTTTGGCTTCCATGAAGCTGTGGAAAGCTGTTCAAAGCCACAGAACCAAAAGGGGAAATGGACTTGCTGCAGTCACACAGTGAGTCATTGGCGGGACACTCAGATCTCCATACTTCAAGTTCTGGGGCTCTCACTTTATGGGGCGAGAGGGAGAAGATCTGCCTACCTGGGTCCTCGGGAAAGATTGTTAACTGACACTGTGGCCACCGTAGGTGCGGCCCTGGTCACATGTGTGTACGTATGGACAGGTTGTGCTTGCATGGGTGTGTGCCTGCGTGTAGAAGTCAGAGGTCAATGTTGGATGTCTTCCTCAATCACTCTCCATCTTATTTCTCTGAGACAGAGTCTCTCAATGAACGTGGAGCTCACCGATTTAGCTGGGTTACCTGCCCTGTGAGCTCCCAGGAACTTCCCATCTCGGTTTCCCTTACAGGTACACCTGACTTGGATGTGGGTGTTCGGAGGGCAACTCATGTTTACACAACAAGCATTTCTACCTAGGAGTATTTCCCCAGCCCCGTGGCTGTGGGGTTTTTGTTTTGTTTTGTTTTGTTTTGTTTTGGGGGGCGGTTGTTGGTTGGTCTTGCTTTTCAAGACAGGGTTCCTCTGTGTAGCCATGGTAGTCCTGGGACTTGCTCAAGGTTAGTAGACCAGACTAACCTCGAACTCACAGAGATCCACCTGCCTCTGTTTCTTGAGTACTGGGCTTAAGGGCGTGCACCACCGTGGCCAACTCCCGTGGCCACCTTTCGGAGGATGCCGACAGCCTCCGCTCTGCTCTCTAGCTGGTCTTTCAGCCTCTTGCAGCCCTCGAGCTCAGGCACAGTGGAGAAGACTGGGGGAGGGACAAAGAGACGCCTGTCCTGCCCTCTCGGCTGCAAGCTGAACATTGTATTCATTCCTGCTCGGGACTCTGCACATTCTCATTCCCTGTCCTCTCACTCTGGGCTGAGCCCATACACACCCACCCTGCCATGCCCTGCCAGCTCCTGGGACTCTGCAAAACCTCCTAAAAGCAGTTGAAAAAAAAAAATCCCCTGCCGTCTTGGTCTCTAAGCAGATGGCAGCCCCTGGTAAGCCCCTGGGGTCCCTGCTTGAACACCAAGCCCACTGGTCACCATGACCAGACACTTCTCCATGACATCAATAAATCACATATAAACTAGGGCAGAAGTAAGTTACTGGTGGGGTGACAAGGAGGTGGCAGCAGGTTTTCTCCTGAGTCTGAGCTGTGCTTGAAAAGATACCCTCTGGCCTGGTGGTGGTGGTGGTGGTGGTGGTGGTGGTGGTGGTGGTGGTGGTGGTGCAGGTGCACACCTTTAATCCCAGCACTCGGGAGACAGAGGCAGGCGGAGCTCTGTGAGTTCGAGGCTAGCCTGGGCTACAGAGTGAGTTCCAGGAAAGGTGCAGAGAAACCCTGTCTTGAAAAACCAAAAAAGAAAAAGAAAAAAGAAAAGAAAGAAAGAAATGCTGAGGATACAGTTGGTTCTGTTGCTCTTTCTATCCCGTCAGGAACATGTCCTTCCACCGTTGAGAGGCAGAAAACACACCTTTCGTGAAGAGTCACTTCCTCTCTCATGTAAAATAATCATCGTCAGACTTCCTTGAGTTTCTCTTTTCCCTCCGGCCATCAGGAAACTCGAGGATAATAACAGTATGATGGTAGGGATAAGCTTTTCAAGAGGACAAACGCTTCATGACGCATGACAGGGTGACATCACAATGAGTCTGTCATAAGATGTAAGTGATGTCATACATCGCCTTGTGATAACAAAAGAAATGCGGGTCGGCTGAGAAAGGAGCTCAGAGCGGCTGCCCTCCAGAATGAGCTTCGTCGGGAGAGAGCCTCGTCACCATGGCAGCCGGATGAATTAGGAGAACATTTAAGAGGGACAGACAGTGCGTGGAGGCAGACAGCACCGGGAGCCTTAAAGGGAGAGGAGCTGCATCCATTTAAAACCTGGAGAGGAGCCGGGCAGTGGTGGCGCACGCCTTTAATCCCAGCACTCCGGAGGCAGAGCCAGGTGGATCTCTGTGAGTTCGGGGCCAGCCTGGTCTACAGAGTGAGATCTGGGACAGGCACCAAAGCTACACAGAGAAACCCTGTCTCGAAAAACCGAAACAAAAAACAAAAAAACAAACCTGGAGAGGGCCAGGCACAGTGGCGCACGCCTTTAGCCCCAGCACTCAGAAGGCAGATCTCAGTGAGTTCAAGGCCAACCTGGTCTGTAAAGTGAGTTCTAGGACAGCCAAGTCTACACAATGAGACCTTGTCTCTAAAAAACCAAAGCAATAACAATAGCAAGAAAAATGGAAAGGATGCTTTCCACTGACTGTCTCCTGGGGTTCTGTTTGTCTTACTGCTGTTCTTGAGACAGGGTCTCTCCCACGTAGCCCAATCTGGCCTTGAACTCTCGACCCTCCTGCCTCTACCTCTTCAAGTGCTGAGATTAACAGAAGTCAGTGGTTATGCCCAGTTTATAGCACAGCGATTGAATGCCAGGCTTTGTGCAGACCAGGCGAGCACTCCAGCAACAGAGGTATTCCCCAGCCCACCCCCAGCCCATGCGCTATGTTCTGTGAATGATCACAACACTGGAGATGGGTCAAACCACAGTGAGTTGAGGACCACTTGCGTTTCCTCCTTGGAGACATGAGAAGGATCGGCTGAAACCTTCGCGGCTCCTTCTGGAAAGAACAAATGTGAGTGAACATTTATGTAACAAGGCCCACGATGAGAATGGAAAGAGATGCCAGTCTGAGACCAGAGGGCTTGATGAATCCCCAGAGACCCTCCCACACCCCAACCATCCCCAGCTTCAGAACACTTGGTGGTAGATGTTAGACAGAGGCCGCTCTTCTGGGGACTTCAGAGGCTCTGGTTGGAGTCCAGTCAACACTCTCCTTGTCACAGTCTTGCTCGGAGTCATGAATTTCACACTTCAGACCCAGAGTGGCTCGAATTCTATTTTTAAAGGAGTCAGAAATGAGGTTTTAATGTGAACCCCTGACTTGCAAATGCTAGCAGCCAACTGCATCTTCTCAAAATGCTGGGGAATAAACCAGACTTGGCTGCAGGCCACATGGGAGCCCAAGGCCCTCCCCAGCTCAGCTGGTCAAGCCCAGGCTACTCCCAAAGGGCCTGTTTGGTATGGCTTGGTGGACAGGGGGTGAGTTATAGTATTCTGGAACCTACCTTCCCGTCAAGACAGTCTGAGAGAGCTTCCTTGTTCTGAGATAACTTAGGCCCAGGGCATGTTGTCAGTCCAAGTGGGCCCCCACCCAAGCTGGACCATGTGTAGGGCCCTGCGCCATATTAAGGAGATCATTTCAAACTGGGCACTTGGCCTAGGGTAAGGGATGAGTCCCTCTCCTGAGCTACTGGCACTTCAGCAAGAGCCTGGAACAGGTGAGCCTGTCCAAGATGGTTGGAGATACAGGACAGAAAACGTGCTGGCCTGAATACCAGGTGAGGGGCATATGCCTGAGATCCCGGCACCTGAGAGGTGGAGGCAGGAGGAGGGTTAGGAGTTCAAGCCCAGTGTCAGCTACATAGTGAGTCTAAGACAAGCCTGGGCTGTATGAGACCCTGGTAACTTGATGGAGGGAAGGAAGAAAGGAATAGAAAGGCTGCCAGCAGCTCCCATGGTGTAAGGACGAAGTCAATGGCTGATTAAAAGGTACACAGAAAGCTGGGCGTGGTGGTGCTCGCCTTTAATCCCGGCACTCGGGAGGCAGAGGCCAGCCTGGTCTACAGAGTGAGTTCCAGGACAGTCAGGACTGTTTCACAGAGAACCCTGTCTTCAAACAAACAAACAAACAAACACAAACAAATAAACTGAAGGTACATGGAAGCAAGATTAGAAGGTGGCTGGAGAGGAACAGAGGTGTGGTTCCGGGGTCGAGACCTTTCCTAGCCTGCACACAACTCTAGGTCCTATCTCTGAGGCAGGTAAAAAAAATCCTACAGGATCTGCCTGGTTCTAGAGATCCTGAGCCCTCGTGAGCTTTCTTGTAAAGGTCCAGAGCTCACAGTCCTCTGATACCTTTCCTTCCCTGCTCAAGCTGGGGGCGTCAGGTTTCTGCCCCCCAGAAGCCATCACCCCTAACTTATGCACAAGGCTTCTGCTTGGGCCCTCTGCAGCCCCCTGCCTCAGGACATGGCTGTCTTCCGAAAATAACAACACTGAGCTTCTGGTCTTGGCTTCACACCTCTTGCCATTTAGATTAGCACAAAAAGAAAAATGTCACAAGTGGCTTCTTGTGAAACCTGCCACCTGCCACCTCGATAACCTGTAGAGGAGGAGTCTCCGAATACACCAGGGCCTAGCCTGAGGCAACCCTCGGCTCTGTACCCAGTGAGTGGGTTGGCCCCCATGATCTTGTGGGGTGATCTGAAAAACACAGCAAGAGCTCTACCCTCTGGGGAGGGCCTCATAGAACTCACTGCCTTGCTGATCTCTCGGCGACCTTCTGCTTGCCCACAGCACATGCTCAGACCCCGAACTCTCGGGTTCACCAAACTCTAGGGACTGCTAGCCACATACCCTGCCCTCAGACTTCCAGACCCTAACCCAAGTGGCAATAACCAGGGGTGACCCTAATGACCCTTCCGTTCTGCAAGCTTGTTTCCTCTCTGTAAAATAATAACCTCCTGGGGCTGGAGAGATAGCTCAGCGGTTAAGAGCACTGGCTTCTCTTCCAGAGGTCCTGAGTTCAATTCCCAGCAGAGGTCCTGAGTTCAATTCCCAGCAGCCACATCCCAGCTCACAACCATCTGTAATGAGATCTGGCGCCCTCTTCTGGCCTGCAGGGACACATGCAGGCAGAATACTGTATATATAACAAATAAATAAATCTTTAAAAAATAACAATAATAATAATAACCTCCTTCCTCTCCTTCACTCATCCAACATCCTTCCCCCTTCCCTAGTCATGGTCAGAGCTGTCTGGCCAATCAGGGTATCCCAACCAGAACTCACAGGCTTTCGGGCTAGTAAGAGTCTATCTGCTAAACTTTCTCAGTTTTAAGTGACCTCCTCATGTTCCTCCTCTTTTTAGTTTTTGTTTTGTTTCATTTTTTTTTTTCTAGAATATTCCTTATTGAGTACACTGTAAGGAAGTGATGTGCTGGGGAGTCCCTAGAGTGTTGCTTCCTGAGAC